AAAAAGGGGCCAGTGTAGACGTAGCCCACCAGAATGTGAGATTTCCACTATAATCAGAATATTAGCAACCATTTACCTTACCTCTACATCCTACTTACCTTACCTCTACGTCCCACATCAGTCTCCGGCACCCCCCTCAAATATCCTATTCTATTACCACATGTTCTTTCCTGTAGCCAGGAAAGGAAGAAGAGTTGAATATCTATGATCAATGATTAATTTGGGAGGCAGATACTAAAAGGGATAGATTCCAGGACAAAACCACAAAGACAGACAGGAAGGGTAGATGCACAGGAATAGACCTGAAGTAGCAATCATGCATGCCAACAGAACAGTATCAAAAGAAAAAAAAAAAGAAAAGAAAAAAGCACACCTCCCACATACATTAACATCACACACATCTTTACACTGAGAATAAACATGAGTAATTTCAATGCAGAGGATAATTCTTTTAAAAACTTACATGCCTGAAAAGTGGCTTACTACTATAATGTAATTTTTATTACAATATAATAATTTATTTAAAAGTAACTCTGAAAGGAAAACTGTCAGGCACCACATTCAATTAAGAATTCAACCAGAGCAGCACAAGTATTTGAGACACAGTGTGTAACAGGAACCCAGCCTTTGAAACATAGCCATTTAAAGCTTTTAGGAACAATTTTTTGCTATGAAAAGAAAAGCAACTGGGGCGCGGGGGTGGCAAAAGGGGAAATGCAAAGCAGTAGCACATGGCAGGAGATAATTCAACTACAACTGATCATGGCTGGACAGAATAGGATAACTTGGGCAATGTTCTTATACTTCACTACCCAGGTAGACACTGTGGGTTATTATACATAGCATTTTCAACATCATGATGTATGATATTTGGATACAATTTGCATAGTGCAGAATGCCATGATATAGGAACAATTTCATCTTGATAGTCCTGAGAAGTCTGTGTTTCAAAGTGTCAAGGCTTTTCCATTACCTAGCCACCTAGAAGTACTCTCACAAGCTCATTTTAAGGTTGAATCATTTTATATTTTGTGTTCAACCTTCCAAATGTTTGCTGGATCAAGTCCTAACATCCCTGGGGGAGGGTGGGAGACAGTGAACCTAGGCAAACGCTATAAGAAGATAGGAAGCTGTAGGACAGCAGTTCCCAACCAGAGATCTGTGAACCCCTGGTGGTCTGCGAGGGTACTGCAGGAGATCTAAGGAAAGTTTGAAAATAAGGCTCAGGCGGTGGGCCCAATCCTTATTTTTCTTTTCTTTTTTTCCCCTACCCGGAGGGGCTGTCCATGAAATTTTAATAGATTTAAAAGGGGTCCATATACTCAAAAAGGTTGGGAACCACTGCTGTAGAATGACAGAGGCACTCAGGATAATCTAAAAAGAAGGTTAACGAGCTCCAGAAATATCTACATTCAGCTCTTCCATCACAATCAAGGATACTGGGAGCTCAAGGTGGTAAAGGGAGAGGAAGACTTCAGAAGATTGGCTAGGAAACTGTGGGACTCCCAGGGAGGGAACACTGCCCCTCTTAGAATATAATGTAAGAAAAGGGAATTGGAAAGAGAGAAACGTTCCTTGGGGGAGAAGATATGGAAACAAGAGCTAGAAGACCTTGAATGAAAGGGGAAGAAAAGAGAGAGAGAGAAGATGATACTCTATGGCAGCTGACAAGTTACTATGATGCAGCTGTGCTGAGCCTTTAGCAGCCCCTTGTTGATAGCTCTTCTGCAACCTGCAGGCAATCACTAACCTGTAATCAGCTCTGTACCCTGAGGCTACCTGACTGCTGAAAATCCAGAGTGCAGTATTGTGCTCTATGCACACAAAGTGAATATGGTTTATATATCATGTCAAAGTTGTATTCTGTGACAGAAAAGTGCCACCATGGAGGAAGGAGGAAGTTTCAACTAAGCCAGGTGTTTGGATGCTGCTGGAGGATTCTACTTTTCTCTGCTTTTCTGTCCTTCCCTTTTGAAGGGCCTAAGCTATAATTTACCAAAATGTGTATGACATCCTGCAGCAGAAAGGGGGCCTAGTGACCTTTATACATCCAACTTATTAGAGCTATCAAGTGAAATGTTTCCCATATTGACAACAACAGAAGACCCTCCCACCTCCATGCTAATTGTCAAGTAGCAGTGACAATTCTCAGGAGAAGAGCAAACAAGGATCATATAGAAAAGTTATTGATGCTCTGCTCTCCCAAACTGAGCAGCTCATCTCAGTTTTGTCCTGGGAGAAAAACAATTTGTACAGTTATTACTTAAGCTCCTATTAGAAGTTTGGAAGATCACTTCAATCTGTACATAACAAATAGATTCTCTGAAGGTACCACTCTAAATAAAATAGTCTCTGAGGCACTCAAGTACAACAACTCCACCTAGGTCATAGCATATCTGAATATACAATGTGATCCATTTTGATAACCCTTGAACTGATATAGCTTGGCCTTTAGACTTTTTGCTGAAAGACACAAACAACCTTGTGAACTTCTAAAGTATTTAGTTCTGTCAAAATAATACTGACAACCCTTTTAACATACAGGATGTGTAATGGACTTTCCCAGGAAGTTCCTAAGGCTTGGGGGAAAATATGTACATGAAAATCCAAGATGACTTTATTCAAAATTTCAAATGGGGTCACAACAGTACATTATACTTATGAAAAGTAGCATACACAGGTTCTGTATCAAAGCCAGAGTCCTGCAACTCTCCTGGCTGATATTATTGCCACGAGAAAAACTTCAGTAAAAAGTGCAATAAAGACATCGCAAGCCAGCACTAATGGCCTGTGTATATTACATTGAAAAGAACTGGCTGTTGTAACTACTTAAACCAGTGAAGAGAGAAAAATTAGGAAAGATTATACACTAATAATACCACTACCTAGCTCTGATGTAGCATTTTTCATCAGTTGATATAAAAAAAAATCTAAAAATGTGGTTTCCCATTGGCTTTCCACCCCATACTTTATCCGCCTTTCTCTTAGTGTTTCATAGATGTGGACATTGAAGCTGAGAGAGGAGAGAGGAGAATGACTTATTCGAAGTCTGTCAGAAAGCCAGTGGCAGAGTCAGGAACAGAACCCAAGTTTACTGAATCACAGTCCCGTGATCTATCCACTGCCTGATTCAAGATCTGTAATGCCCAATTTTGGTATGTGAATGACTAGTCGACTATCTGATAAGCAAATGCTTATTAGACAATCAACAGGCTAGTTAACTAGTCGCTCTCCTCCCCTACCCCCCACTGCTGCCTCTATCAGAAAGAGGCAGCAAGGGGGCAGGGAAGAGGAGTGGATAGTTCAAAGTGGCAGCACCATATGGAGCCTGGGGCAAGAGCCTGAGGCTAGGCTCCCTGCGGCGTTCCAAAGTGGCAGCGCTGCATGGAGCTCGGGGTCAGCAGGGGAGTCCACTTCAAAGATGAAGGTGCCTTACTGACTAATTGAATAGTCAATGCAAAATGCATCGACTATTAAATTTCAATAAATTGACTAATTGAATATCCCTAGCCTGATTCTCAGAGTGAGTACATCCCTCCTCTCCCGCAATGTTCAGCTGCTCTAAAATAATCTGTGGCCAGGTAATCATCACATGATCCCTCTCCTGTCATCCATTTCCAGACAAACAGACTAGGGACACGATTCCTACCCATCATGGCACTGCCAAGTAGCAAAGCACGCAATTCTCACTGTGGAGCTGTATTAGTTTGTTTGTTCTTTTAATAAAAATGTTTTTCAAATAGAAGGGAGGCAACGCCACTTATCAATGACATTTCTACTAAACTGTTGGAGGGATTTACATTTCGATCACGGAAAAAAAATTCTCTCACACATACATTTCTTGAAATAATAAATGAGTTATTCAGGGCAAATTGGTTCAGTCTAAAGGCAAAACAACTGGCTCATCAAACTTGTTTGTGTAGATCTTAGTTCCCAAGATGGACTTCAATTTAAAGATCCACGTCAAACAGACTTTTATAATTTGAATAAATCTAGCTCTCCAGAATATTCTCCAGGAATCTAGCTCTCCTCTGTACAACTGAACACAAAATCCTAAATTCTCAGCAGGTCTAATTAGGGGTTTAGAACAAGCATCGTGTCAGTTACTGTTTCACTGATGCCTGCTGAAGTGAGTACAAGTTACAGGGGATACTTCAAAGTATAGAAGATCAAACAAGAAGAGGAAAGGAGGATAAAGCAGGGAAGTGGGAGGGGAGAAAGGAGAAATATATACATGGAAAAGTTTATTGCTTTGGTAACTCATTATAATAAATGTGAGACTTAGGAACTTGCTAACAGCTCCTGCAGGGTTGGTTGGTTTGTTTACAGATTCCTCATGTCAGAGAGGATCTGCTGGCAATTCCACAAACTCTCCGTGCAGAAACTGGAAACTTTTACCTGTCTTATATTTTTTCCAAAAGCTTCCAAACAAGTATTAGAAATAAAACTAAATACAATTTACTGTAACTACAAAAAAAATCCAATTTAAAATAAATTTATTTGTAGAAAATGCCAGCTCATTAAATGATTTCACTGAGATTTAAAAATTCAAGTGATTTGCTCAGTTTTCTTTTACTTTTATCAGTTCTGGATTACATAATGGAGAACTTAACAGGCAAATTAAACATATTCTTAGATTTGCTTTCTACTGTGCTCAATCACCTTTATTTTACAGATGCTTTCTAGCTCTGACAACTCAATGGAAACTGACCAAATGAAAACTGGAGAAGCTGCTTAATACAATGCTCAACTGCAATTAAGCACTGACATAGTTTACTTGTAAAGTACTCTCTAGATCCATGGTGTCCAACCAATAGCCACTGGTGTCTACTGCGATAGTGAACAAGCCACACCAGCCAACTAGCCACATGTGGCTAGCATACTGGAAACCATGGCTCTAGATACACAAAAATACTGGTAAACTAAACCCTGAGTTTCAGATTTGATTCCTATACAAGAATTGAAAATTACTTGAATCTTAAAATTGGAATGACAGTTACCTTAAAGAAACACTATACTCAGGATAAAAGACACTTGTGTATTGAACCCAAGCCCCAGTTTCCTCTTCTGTAATCCTTTTGCAGTCTTCCGCTGAAAAGAGATTGAATGATGCAAACCTTCTTATAGACACTTGTTGAAGACGCTCTCCCTCCAAGGGTTTTTTTTTCAGAACCTTTGAAATTAAGAACAAAGTATTAAAGATTAAGTATACAACTCACAACAAATTGCCCAATTGAGGTCTCATATCACTGGAAGTAAGACAGGAATCAGCGGAAATAGCTAAGCAGCAAACAGTATAATCAGCCTTAAAATGTAAAGTAAAATCAAGGCAGCAGCATTGCAGTCTGGTTCTTCAGCTCTGAAGAGGCTGTAATAATGGCAGCGTGCAATGTACATTATGTTTTGATATTTTTAAAGGAAACTTATCCTGGGATCTGAGAATCAAATTGGATTCTTTCCTTTTCCCGCATCATAACCATTACTAAATCCTTTATGGACCAAAATTCTGCCCTCAGTGACTTCTATGCAATACATGGCTTTCAAAAGGTTTCCACAGTTATAACTGAGGCTACGTCTACACTACAGGCTTCTTGTGCAAGAAGCTTTTTGTAGAAGAGATCTTCCACAAAATCTTCTTGTGCAAGAGCACGTCCATACTGCAAAAGCACATTGGAAAAGTGATATGCTTTTGCGCAACAAAGAGTCCAGATTGCATGGACGCTCTCTCACAAGAAAACTCTGATTGCCATTAACAGAATGGCAACCAGGGCACCTGTGCTCCTTTCGATGGGCTGCTTTTGCACACACAAAAAAACCTGTTTCCCGTCCATACACATCATTTTGCACAAGAGCTCTTGCACAAAAAGGAGTCATTCCTCGTAGAAACAGGAATATCTATACCGCAGAAACTCCTCCGTTCTGTCAATTTACTGGACATTTTCTTGCACAAAAACGTGCTTGAGGTGTGGACACTCCGCAAGTTTGGTACAAAAACAGCTGTTTTTGCACAAAAACTCTGAAGTCTAGACATAGCCCGATTGTCCCTATAAATGGAATGTAATAAACAAATGGGTAAGGAGCAAAAAGAGAGATAAGAAAAAGTATTTTAAATTTACCAAAGTAAACAGATATGGCTCTGAATACTCAACAGACCTATTATTTGGTTGTGATGAAATGCCATTTTTTTATTCTGAATTTTCAGACTAGCACTGCAAAGTAAAATGATAGCATGAACCTTAACTAACTCAGTAATGTTCTTCAGATGGCTATAATGAAATCCTTACAGATGTGCTGCTCCAACACAAAGGGAGTGTGATGGATAAGAAAAGTGCTGGCCCACACTGAGTGACTAAAGAGTTAGCCTCAGGTAGCTAGTAAGGGTATTGGCAGGGGGCCATATGAAAAATATGGACCAGCAATTTTCCATTGATGTATTGTACCTTAAACTGGTTTGCAATATTATAAACTGCAGCAAAGACAGATTGCTAGTATTTTTACAATAGCATTGTCTAATAGTGCCTTACCAACTAATGTCCTCAGCAACATGTGCAGTTCAGCTTCTACCACTTAATGACACAGATTAGAAGTTCATCAGCAAATTACAGAACCCAGTTTTTCAAGTGCAGATGTGCCTGCTCCAACACAAAGGGAGTGTGATGGATAGGAAGAGTGCTGGCCAACACACAGTGACTAAAGGGCTAGCCACAGGTAACTAGCAAGGGTGTTGGCAGGGGGCCAGAAGAACCAATGAGGATACAGTGCTGAAATTGGAATTGTATAAGATATCTTGCCTGATTTCTTTGGGTGGAGAAGTTAAGCCAGGAGTTGAGAGAGACAGAATGATTTAAACCCAGGCAGGACAACCAGGCCTCCAAGGAATTCCGGGCATGGAAGTGGACTGAACCAGGAAGGGATTGTGAATAAATAAAGGGAAACGTGTATGTAGTTGCAATTAAGGTATTTATATTTTTGTGGTTTGGTTTAAACTTCTCTGCATGAATCCATGCCTCCTCTCCCGTATTTACTATCTAAGAGTTGTTCCCAGAGATTTTCTCTATGTTTTAATTTGTTTTATTAGTTGCTCTGTAACACCTAGCAATCAATTATGTTTGCTTATCAAGTATACCTTTTGTTTTATTAATAAAAATGCAATTAAGGTATTTATATTTTTGTGGTTTGGTTTAAACTTCTCTGCATGAATCCATGCCTCCTCTCCCGTATTTACTATCTAAGAGTTGTTCCCAGAGATTTTCTCTATGTTTTAATTTGTTTTATTAGTTGCTCTGTAACACCTAGCAATCAATTATGTTTGCTTATCAAGTATACCTTTTGTTTTATTAATAAAAATTACTTTTTAAGATGGTTTGATTCTTGTGTACTGGAGGGTGGGTGGGTGG